GACTTTTACCAAATTTCTCACACTCCTGCCCATATGACACTGTAACTCCCTATCAGTGGAATAAAGTGCCCCTCCCCTATTAATAAGCAGAACCAGGGACTGCCCATCCTCTCTGGCACACATATTTACTTTCTCCTAAAATTTCAGAATTTCTGGGCTGCTCGTTACTAATGGTATCCAGGATCTGAGACAGGTACCTGGCTGTCTAGCGATTTGCTGGGGTGTTTCAAAGCCCAAAAGCCATCTTAGTATATTAACATACCTCCCACGTGCCCCTCTTAATGCACAAATCCTCTGTCCTTTTCTATCCTAATGTACCTATTTTATTATTATTATTGGTGTGTCTGAGGGTATAATTCACTTTGAATTCTCACTTTAGTTAATAAACCTGTCTGTCAAACTAAAAGGACGTTTTCAATGGACTTTCCTTCAAATGTAACTTGAATAGTCTGGTGTTGTTAAGATCACTGGTAATATTTTCTGCTTGTTCAGAATAATAGAGGAAATTGAATTGCTTTCAGTTATTTGCAGCCACATTAATGAGCACAAGGTTTAATTTGAAAGACACAGAGACACAGGAAGATGCACTGCACGTTAGCAGAGAGATACAGGATATCTGAGATCAGCACACTGAGCAAGCCCTGACTCACTCCACCCTAGTTCTTGAATGCTATGTGCTTCTGAACTCTGACATTTAGTCATATCTAAAGAAAGACTGCTCTGTTACACTGTCACCATCCCAAATTAAACCCTCACATCATACCATGCTTGGAACCGGCTCTAAACATTTAGGAAAGAGACCTTAGAATCCCCCAAGGTCATCCCCAAAACCTACTGCTCGGTTACACTCTGTGTTTCCTTATTCCTGTCCCCATTTCATACCATAAGCTAACATGATAAATTATTATAAGTAGGTAGGTCAAATCACTTTTGAGAATCCTCGAATAAAACTGTCCACATTTGATATGCCAGGTAGTATGTTTATGCATTAGTCGTTTTTATACAAGGACACCAACCTGTGATTATTCTTGTCGTTTGAAGGTAATAAAATTATTTTCTAAACATTTGAAATAAAAATCAATAGTTTCAGAGGCGTAACTACAAACCATGGGACCCTGGTGTGAAAATTGCCCTGGGCCCCCCCCATAGGTCTACCCCTCCAATACATCTACTCCCCCCAATAAGTCTACTTCTCCCCTCCCTCCATACGTCCACTCCCTCCCCACACACAAATGCAGACAAACAGATACACATGCAGACACACACATAGACACACACATACATACAGACACACATACATAGAGGCACACACACGCATACATACAGACACAAACATACATACACATACATACATATAGACACACATACACACAGACATACACACACAGAGACACACACACACATACATACAGACACATATGCACAGACACACATACACACACACACACACACACACACAGAGACACATACATACAGACACACATACACTAACACATACACTAACACATACACATGCAAAATGTTTAAGTCACCCTCCTGTTTCCTACCTTTTAGGTGCAGGAGGGTGACTTTCCCTGGGGTCCGGTGGTGGCTCAGGCTGACAGGACTCCCTCTCCTTCCTCCCACGCGGCTCTCTCTGATAGCTGGGTGGAGTGGCCAGGGCTCCCTGGATATTCATTGCCATCAGGTGGCCATAACAGCATGGTTACATCGCGCGGGACGGCACCCCAATAAATGGCAGCGAGCACCCGGTTGCAGGGGTACACAGGATGACCAGGCCCCCTGGAGTGATGGGCCCGGTTGCAGCTGTGGCCCCTGCGACCGCGGTAGTTCCCCCAGTGAATAGTTTTATCTATAAGACCACCCTTTCGGCCCCTCACTTATAACCTGCATTATTTCCCTTTTTTTGTGCATAATTTTGTGAATGACTGTGGTTGCAAGCTAGCAATTGAACTGCAACTCCCAGAAACCCTTGCCTGTCCACGAACAACTGCTTGTGTGGTAGGCTTAAGAGCCGAAACGTCGGGGTTTTCATTTCTCCTGCTCTTGATCAGTATATCTTTTTTATGGGTGTATGTAATTAGCACTTTTTTACTATTGTGGTATTGGTTTTATAGATTGGGTATGCACTATTTTATGCACGTTTTCTGTCAAAATTATTTGACGTATTTCTTCAATGCATGAATAAACTTTTTTTATGCGCAAACCTTGGTGTGCCTTGGGATTATTACTAGATCTATTGTGTATATATATCTGGTGTGGGAACAGATTTTTTCCTTAAAGAGCACACAGTACTTTTTATACCACATTACTTCTCACCCACTTTCAGTTCAGCTTTTCCTATAATTATATATTCACCTACTTATTCACCTTCTTATAATTATATATTCACCTTATCCGAACTTCTAATAATTTTAATAGGGTTGTTTTTCAAATAATCCATAGCCGGTATGTTTGGTGATTAGAGCATCCCTAAGCTATAAACAGAGCAAATATTTTTCTCTGCCATTTATTGTAAACTGTTATCTATTTCTTGGAGTACACAGCCAATAAAATACCAGGATCCTGCTTGCAAACGTCAAATAAAAGTGTTGATACAATTGTTAAGAATGCGATGTGATATAATGGAGTTGGCCAAAAGGCAAGTTTGGACGTGAAGCACGTGACAAAGTCTCATATATCTTGTTCTCACAATACAATGCATATTGAGAGAATATAAAATGATCTAATATTTCCACATATAACACAGGTTTGTAAATTCCTTTGTGTTTTTGAAAAATGTCTATGATTCTTGTTAAAAGAAGATATATGCTAACGCAGTCCTCAAGTGCCTCCTACCAGTCCAAGATTTAGGGCAGTGGTGTATCCTGGTTTTGTACTGCCCTAGGCAGGACAAAACTCAGGAGCCCCCGTCCGCCCGCGCCACCCCCACCCAACCCCCCGCCCCACCTTCTAAATACACACAATCAGACACACACACAGTCAGAGACACACACACACAGTCAGACACACAGTGAGACACACACACAGTCAGACACACACACAGTCAGACACACACAGTCAGACACACACACACACACAATCACTCACATTAACACTTTTATTTATTTACCCCCCCCAGCCTCCTTAACTTTGGGAATGCTGGGGGGGTTCTCTTTCTCCCTGGGGGCCCAGTGGCTGCCGGTCGGGCTGATGGGCTGGCTACTGGGCACTGGGCGGGCAGCTGGCAAGGGAGAACTTCCTCTGAGTGGTCTGCTCAGCTCCTTCGCGCGCCACAGAGTGAGGCTGGGAGCCGGAATATGACGTCATATTCCGCCTCCCAGCCTCACTCTGCGGCGCCCGAGGGAGCTGAGCAGACCGCTCAGAGGAAGAGCTCCCTCGACAGCCGCCCGCCCAGCCCAGCATGTCTGTTAGCCGCAAGGCTAACAAGACATTTGCCCCGAGCATTTGGGGGCGGCGTTTTTTGCCGCCCCCTGAAAAATGCCGCCCAAGGCAAATGCCTTGTTTGCCTCGCGTCTAATACGTCCCTGATTTAGGGACTACCCTTTTGTGTCTAAAGTGTTTTTTTGTTTATTTTTCTAAAAAAATCTTAGACGCAGATGGGTAATTCATAAATCCTGGACTGTTAGGGGGTACTTGAGGACTGGATCGGGAACCCCTGCTTTAGATGATACATAACAATGAAGAGAGCATTATTTATAAATAATGAGGCTGGAGGTTCCGGTTGATTAGTTTACGGATGACTCCAGAAACTTCACCTACAAAGAGTGTATGAACATTTTGACTTGTTTGTGATATAGTGAAAAAAATGGCTAATTATGAAAGGGCAAATCAACATGGAGGTAACCATTTAAACCGACCAATCATCTGAGAGAGTTCTGTGGACAAAGTGCTGGGTTACATATTCAAAGTAGGGTTTCAAGAGTGGACAAATCACGTGCATGACTACAATTTGCATCCATTGAGAGAGGGAGCTCCAGTAAAGCTGGAGAGAAAAATTATAAATGGGACATCCGCAATAAGATGATGAATAGGCGCAGTTTACCGTTCACGTCTGGTTGTGTAGAGATACAGATTACTACCTTGAATACAGTATTTGACCGAAAGGCTTGCACTTACTATTTACAAAAAAAGACAGAATGTGTGTGAGTTCAGAACCAATGAATTGTGAGCTGTGAGTGAATGTGATAAACTGCAGAAGTATTGATGAGATATTCTATCCTTATTAGTTAGGATGATTTTCTTTAATATATCAAGCTCCCTAGGTGAAGGAGGAATGTCGAAACGTCTTTTTTTTTTAGCAATTAAGGAAAAATTGGAGATGGGGAATTGCGACATAGCAGATCATTTTCAAACACATAGCTTTTCTATTTAAAGCCAAAAGCTCAGAAATATCTGGTTACTAGCAGTTGACCACACTGCACAATTTGTAGTTCCACAGGTTTACTGCTGTAGCTTCTCTGTAATCAGCAGGTGCTTGCGTACCAAAGCTCACGTAGGCATTGATGCCAATTCTTTCTGAGCTAAATGCTTTTATTTATGGAAAATTTTGCCCTGTCTCACTACCCTGTAAATAAGATAATCAGGCACCTATTAAAATAAAACACTGCACTTCCTTAAAAAATTTTTTAATGTGACCACAATAAACATAGCCTGAGAGAAATGATTGTACTGGCTTTCTATAATGTTTTTGCGTTAGAGTGTCCAGGTCTTATCTTCGAACATCTGTTGCAAGCGAATATATTAAGTTTGAAGATTGTTGTAGTTATACCCTACGTTACTTTCACTTTGCTTTCCCACCCCATGGCCCAGATATGTTGAATATTTGTCCGATTTTCGGCAGAATGTGTTTTCTGTTCCCTCCAACATCAGGCGTGTTAAAATATAACATTTTCCTGTGAAGCAAGGCCTGTGTGCCTGTTTCCTATTCTCACCCTGCCTTTCCTTCCCTCCCTTATACTCTATCTGTCTCTGTGCCTGTGTGATTGCCAGGCTGTTAGGGGGGAGGCTGGGGAGGGTTGGGAGAACGCAGGGAAGTCCAGAACCTTCTGAAATCGTCACAGCTTTGCAGGGCTAGGAGGGAGAGTGTATTTAGAGAGGGAGAACCAGTGATAGACATAGAACACACAGAAACACAGAAAAGGGACGCACTCTGAGGGAGCTCACACAGGTGAGGAGGGCACAGAACCGCTTGGACAGACAGGCAGAGAGGGTTCAATATGTAGCACACGGGATGATATCAGGGCAAAACGGGACACTGACAATGACTGCTTCTTGTTTAACGCTTTCAGTGCTAGACGGACGAGCAACGCAATTATATCTGTCCAAAATTCCTGTCAAATGTTTGCCAGTATTGACACATTGTAGCAAGCTGCATTGCTAATCCTCTTTGACAGCTGCACCGAAGAGGAAGATATTTTTTATTTCCTGCCAAAAAACCCACCTTGGCTAAGTTTTGATTGGGTGCTGGAGCTCAGTTTATTGTTTTTTTTTTTTTTTTTTAACTCCTTGTGTTTAATGATGTAGAAAAGTTATAAAAATGATGTGTACACTTCTCTGGTGATAGATATGTTCCCTCATTTTATTGCAAATCATTGCTTCAGTCATATCCTGCTATGAAATAGGACATAGAGCAGGGTTTAGGGCATTTTAAACCTACTATAGAATGCTGACAGACAAGGGGTTAATGTGTGCCACTTTTTAGAACACTGGGGGTAAGAATTTACTGGGTAAAAGTTCTCATGATTTGTCTAGTTTACTGCAAATTAAGTTTACCAGCTGGCATTGAGAACAATGAACTAACCATATCTATTACAATATTATCCAGGAATACAATGCAGCCAGTATGACACTGTGCAATATGTTAATACTATATAATAGAAAAATAAATAATGCTAATTAATAATGTGGCATATGCAATACTTCTAGAATATAGTCTCTCGGAGATTATACCCACTATACCACTGCCTTTCTTAATAGCAAACAGCAATGCCTTGGGTCAGATATGTCCCCAAAAAAATACATTTCCATAAATGGCATTTTCTCTTTCAGGTGTGTGCCCTAACAAATACAATGGCAGAGTTTCCTTTGGCACAATCACTCCACCTTGTAATACAATATATTAGCTATTTGCATTTTATATATAATAATATATTAGTAATAATAAGCACCGTGACTTTTGAAGCACTTGGTGAAAGACGCAGAGGATGTGTCAATTAAGGGATCACAATCAGGAGATATATATAATGGCAAATCAAAACATTTTGTATTAGTAATGAATGAAGGGTTTAGAATTTCACAGTAAATTGTTTATTTTACATTTTTTAACAGCACTTTTATTAAGTATACATTTATTTATTAAATGAAATATACAACAAATGAAAATAGGGAGTTATTAACTAAGCTGTGTGTAATAAGGACTTGATAACTAAGTCTTAACTGTATTCTGAAATAATCCGGCCAGAAAGAAAATGCTCAATATCAGCGGAAGAGGATATTTACATTTCCATAAATGATTTCTCAAGACAACGTAACTTGCTGTTTAGTGAATAAGCCTCAAAGGGCTTATTACACCGAATTGCATCGAGTTATAAAATAAATTCTAAAATGCAGGCAAAAGTAGCTGGTTTGCAAAATTGTTCAACTCTGCTGTAGTCATAACGTGGCGATTGTAGCTGAAATTTTGTCATTTGGTGATAATTCGGTTTTAAATGCACTACAATTTGATGTTTAGTGAATTAATCCTTAAGAGAAGAACCGCCCCTTGTATGAATGAAGCATGTGATTTTAGAAACAGGGGATTAAAAAAAAATCTAAGAAATGAAAAATTATATTTGTTAAAGTTTTTTAAGAAAATATCAGTCCCAATGAATTTATCACATATAATTTCACACCAAACATAAGCATAAGACAGCAATGATTAAACATGTCTTTAATTATAAATAGCGTAACAATTTTAAATGCTAGTTTGCTATCAACAGGTGCCAAGGGTGATGAAAAGATAACTTGATAACTTGTGCTAGAACTACAACTCCCATAATGCTTTGATGATGGGGGGGCTCTACCCCCTGACTTTTGATTAGAGACCAGATTGAATGAACAGTATATGACTGTGAAACTACAAATGCATCCAGTGCTTGTTGATCTTTCCTATAATGGGGTGTGCCGAGCTTGGGAACCTATTTTAGTAATATTTATAAAGTGCCAGCACCAACATATTTTGTAGCGCTGTATGATAGTTGCTAAAACTTAGTTCTTGATAGACTGTTGACAATAGCCACCTGCTATTCCCAGATTTAGATTTCCAGAAGAACTTTCACCTCCAAGCACTGATAATATTTAGGTAAAATATGGATAAAATATCACGTAATTTTTTTGTTAAAAAAACACATTATAAGTTATCTGTGTAACTCTTATTGTCTGTTTAGACATAGAATAATATAAACACAAATATTTAAATAAGTTAAAGCACCATCTGGATAATGATATTGCACTCACTTGTTACAGAGCACAGTCTGAGCTCATATACATGTTATTGTGCATCCTTTGATTTAGTGCTTTGAAATGGAGGATTAGTGTTTCTGTCATTCATTTTAAAAGCTGTTTGTAAAAATGTAATCAACCCTTCAACAAAACAAATAAAAGCAGTCATTATATGGCAAAACATGAAACTAAACTCTATATAGCAATATGGGTATGAATGAAAGCGCCTTCAAATATCTCTCAATTCTGTTCCCCTCTCTCCCATGGGTCTCTTTGACCTATATATGCATTTTGCAGATTGTTTAAACAATTACATTAAAGGGGCTTATTTACTAAACATCAAACTGTAATTCATTGTAAAATAAATAGCAAAATGTATGCACTAATCACTGATTTGGAAAGGGGTTTCTAACTCCTCTTTGGTCACAGCCACTTTATTATGAATTTTTAAATTTGGTTTTCGGTTCTCTACAATTCTGTGTTTAGAGAATAAGCCCTATAGTCCTCCTTTGCTTTTATGGAGTATATTTTATGTATATATGGTAGACAACTCATATCATAGCTAGTCAGCATGGAAGAAACTTGTAAACAGCTCAGTGTGTAAGTGTTTATTCACTATGGAATTGCAATATATTTTACTATATTTTTCTTTTTTTGCCAAAATAGCTCCAACTCAGCTGTATTAAAACATTGGCCATTTTAATCTTATATTTGCAATTAGTTTTAGTTCCTCCCCAATAACCAGTTTATTCTATACTGTACAAACTCTGATTGCAGTGAAGGTGCAATGTAGATTGTTTTTGGAATATTATTTGGTACTAGCTGTGTTTTCGGACCGAAATCAATGCAATATTTTAATGAATTAAGCACAATGATGACCAAAACTACCATATACCCTCAGTGAGCATTTTTGTGAACCCTGAATGCGATTGCGGATGTTAAAGTGTCTGTAGACAATAAGTTTGATGCTGAAAGTAATTATTGTTCTATTATGCAATATGTGTGAACTGCCTCTAGCTGTTGGTGTATCTGACGCTCTGCTTTCCACGTTCCCGGGAGCAGCTGGAGTTATGAAATGAGAGAAATGAGAGACTGTTCCAGTGACTTCTCTCTGATCAGGCCAGCCTTCCTCCCAGCCCTGACTTTTGAATGGCAGCCAAACAATCGTTGTTTCTAGAACGTCCCGGCTCACTCTGTACTGTGTGTCATGATAAAAACCAGTCAAACATGAACCAGTCCTCAGGCCAAATAATCCAGCAGCTTCTCTTAGGAAAACTCACAGGGATTTATAATAGCCTCTCCTTTTACATTTTAATTTTTAAAATTTAATTTCACTGGTATTCTATGTAGTTTTTGCGTTTTGAATGTAAGGGTGTGTTTGTGTGTAGTGCTAGATTTTAAATTCAGGTGTATTTTTGTGTGTAGTGTTAGAACGATGGGGTGTTTGTATATAATGTTGGAGTTCGAATGCATGGGTGTGTTTGCATTTACACTTCCACATACACAGATATTCACACACATTAAAGCACACACTGATACACATATACAAACATTGATACATAAACACATTCACATTCAGATACACACTGACACACACACTGACTCCCCCTCCCCCACACATATACACAGACTTACACATACACATTGACAAACAGATACACACACTACACAGATACATGCACTCACTGACACACATTCCCTGTCGTCCTGCTGCTGGCCGTGGCTTCCCTGACGTCTGGGGCTGGCTGGAACTGGGTCCCTGCCTCTTCCCCTCTTATCCACCATGCACAGCCTCTCTATATGAATCTGGGAGGAAGTGACTTGCAGTCGCTTCCTCCCAGCACTGGTGACTAATGTCTTGATGTGCTGTTGGCATCCCTGTTCAGAAATACCCATCAGGTGGCCCTAAGTGCATGGACCACTTGATAGTGCATGGACCATAGTGTGCGGGGCCCTATGCTGCTGCACTGTCTGCAGTGGCAGTAGTTCTGCCATTGGTAATGTGCTGTATCTGGAAGAATCACTGAGCTCCACAGTGATATATCTCAGAGTAATGTACAGTATGTACCAGTGTATTGCAGAGTTCTGCATCAATAAAACGTACAGTAAGGTGTGGTGTGTATGCATACTAAGGTATTGGAGAATATCACAACTTTTTTACTCCTAGACTAGGAGAGTATACGATTTATGATATCCTCCAGTACAGGAGGCTACCATAATCTTTATTCCCCCAGTAAAGGATAGTACCTTTATACCCCAAGTATAAGTGAGTACCAGAACCCTTTATCTCCCAGTACAGGAAAGCACAGAACCTTTATTCTGGTTTGTTATTTTTTTTATTATTCATACCAGGACACTATGACAGTCTTTATTCACCCCAGAGCAGATTGTAACCAGAACTTCTTTTCTCAGTATAAGACTGTAATAGAACCTTTATCCCACCAAGAGCACCACGCCCTCCCTTGCCACAATACATGACACTATCAGAAATCACTTCATATAATGGAGTACAGAAGCTTTCTCACTGAAACAGAGGAGAGTACTATAATAAGAGAGCATTGAACCTCCACACCTGCAATATAGGAGAGCAGAGAACCTCCCATCCCCAGTAGAGGAAAGCAGAAAATCCCTATCTGCAATATAAGAGAGCACAGAACCTTACCTCCCTGATATTGGAGAACACTGAGCCTCTCCTTCTCCAATATAGGAGACCACAGAACATCTCCTTCCCCAATATTGGAGAGCATAGAACCTCTCCTTCCCCAATATTGGAGAGCGTAGAACCTCTCCCTCCCCAATATTGGAGAGCGTAGAACCTCTCCCTCCCCAATATTGGAGAGCACAGAACTTCCCAATCCCCAATATTGGAGCGTGCAGAACCTCCCGTCCCGATCCCCAAAATTGGAGAGCACAGAACCTCTCCTTCTCCAAAATAAGAGAGCGCAGAACCTCCCCATCCCCAATATTGGAGAGCACAGAACGTCTCCTTCTCCAAAATAAGAGAGCGCTGAACCTCCCCATCCCCAATATTGGAGAGCACAGAACCTCTCCTTCCCCAATATAGGAGACAACAGAACCTCTCCTTCTCCAAAATAAGAGAGTACAGAACCTCCCCATCCCCAATATTGGAGAGCACAGAACCTATCATTCTCCAAAATAAGAGAGCGCAGAACCTCCCCATCCCCAATATTGGAGAGCACAGAACCTATCATTCTCCAAAATAAGAGAGCGCAGAACCTCCCCATCCCCAAGATTGGAGAGCACAGGACCTCTCCTTCTCCAAAATAAGAGAGAGCAGAACCTCCCCATCCCCAATATTGGAGAGCACAGGACCTCTCCTTCTCCAAAATAAGAGAGAGCAGAACCTCCCCATCCCCAATATTGGAGAGCACAGAACCTCTCCTTCTCCAAAATAAGAGAGCACAAAACCTCTCCATCTACAATATTGGAGCGCACAGAACCTATCATTCTCCAAAATAAGAGAGCACAGAACCTCCACATCCCCAATATTGGAGAGCACAGAACCTCTCCTTCTCCAAAATAAGAGAGCACATAACCTCTCCTTCCCCAATATTGGAGACCACAGAACTTCTCCTTCTCCAAAATAAGAGAGCTCAGAGCATCTTTTTTTCCAGCCTGTTGGTTTTCATTGCAGTACCATAGCCCAAGCTCACGTAATGACTAGTTTCAGCTGAATAAGCATGATGTAGACTAAGCATGTTAAATTCACGGCCTGAGGGCCGCATGCAGCCCACAATGAATATCTTTGCGATCCAGTGAGCAGCAAATTTGAGACATTCTTACTAAGGCAGAGTAAGAACCTGCTCTCCCCACATTGCAGGTGCCTATTGTGCTACAAAATTTACCTGGCAGGGGAGGAGCGATCCCTGGCGGCAGTAAGGGAGCTCAGTCTTCCTGTTCCTCACTGCTCCTTCACACATGCCCTCTGTAGTGATGCCGGGTGCTGGAATATGACGTCATTCCGGCACCCGACATCACTAAACTGCGCGCGTGAGGGAGCAGTGAAGAGCAGGAAGACTGAGCTCCCGAGAGATCCCCACTGGACCCTCGGGAGAAGCCCCACACCAGCTCCCAAAAGTAGGGAACAATAAATAAAATTATGTTAGTGTGTGTATGTCTGTCAGTGAGTCTGTGTCTGTCTGTCAGTGAGTGTGTCTGTCAGTGAGTGTGTGTTGGTCAGTGTTGCGATGGCCATGGTTGGACATCAGAGGACCTGAAGGTGCACTGAGGCACACAACGCCATGTCACATTCCGGCGTGACTTAAATGTGCTCAACCTTCACAGGTTTTCCAGGAGTAGCGGCAGGATCCGCTTTGGCACAGGGTGCGGAAGGCACCATTGGGGGTATACCAGAAGCTGGACTCCAAAGTCGCATACTGACAGCGGCAATGTGAATAAAGTCTGCTTGTTGGCTAATATTGTTTTTTTTTTTAAACAAGGCCCGGGGTTTAGTAGAGGAGGGTGCTAGGATTTAGTAGAGGGGTTGAGGGCGACTAGGATTTAGTATAGAGGGGAGGACTGGGATTTAGTATAGAGGGGAGGACTGGGATTTAGTATAGAGGGGAGGACTGGGATTTAGTACAGAGGATGGAACTGGGGTTTAGTAGAGGGGGATGATGTTTTTTTTTTTTTTTTGTATTGTACTTTTTAAAACCTACATTTCTATGAAAACTTAAGGTTTTTATATTTTTGCGCCCCACATAAACTTAAACCTTGCCTTTGAGTTTGACATGCTTGATCTAGACAGTCCCAGGCAATGCTGATTCAGTAGGGATTTAGAACACAAAGACAGGGGGCTTTAAATTGGGTATGTAAGTGAAGGGAATCATTGTTTTCACTGCAAAGACAGATGCTATTTTGCCTTTTTTGTTTAATCTATTGAACATTAGCGTTCTGAATTTCCATCTTGAAAACCTTTTTCACTTTTATGGAAAAGCTACCGTTAGATAGCACATTTTATTTAAAAGATTTAGGAAATTATATCAGAATGCAATTCAGTCATGTGATAGCCAAGGCACACATTGCAGAAAAGGAGAAAAAAACAGTGAGAGAGATTCATCAAAGAGTTGCCAAATATGACCTACTAAATACACAAGATAATAGTAAACAGAATTCCATATGTTTTCTTTAATTTTTGTTTACAGGCAGAATGTCTAAGGGTCCAGCAGTTGGCATTGACCTGGGCACCACATACTCATGTGTGGGTGTCTTTCAACATGGCAAGGTGGAGATTATTGCTAATGACCAAGGAAATCGCACCACTCCCAGCTATGTGGCCTTCACAGACACAGAGAGACTCATTGGAGATGCGGCAAAGAACCAAGTGGCCATGAATCCAACCAACACTGTGTTTGGTGAGCATAAGCCAAAAAAAAGGCATCTTTCCAGTGGCATTCCATACATCAACCATGTCTATCCAGGGAAATAAATTAGGTGATAACACACATCAAAATATGGAAAACCTGGTTCAAGTGCTTCCTTTACCACCAACCTAGAAGCATTTAAACCAAGTATGGTTTCCTTGTAACCCACAGGTGTAGAAGTATTGATGAACCCCCCCGACATTGGCTGCTTTCTAAATCATTAACTTAGAGGTAATTTTTCCCCACTTAAACAACAATTCAAACATCAAGAACTCCCACTTTTGGTGTATACTAAACCTCTGATTTACAATTATTATTGTTATTATTTATAAAGCGCCAACAAATTCCGCAACGCTTTACAGTGGGTGGACGAACAAACATGTAATTGTAATCAGGCAAGTTGGACACACAGGAACAGAGGGGTTGAGGGCCCTGCTCAATGAGCTTACATGCTAGAGGGAGTGGAGTAAAGTGACACAAAAGGTAAGGATAGTATTAGACTGATGACAGTTGCAAGAGAGGAATCAGTCGGGAGCTATTAACAGTTTAATTGATACGCTTTTATGAAGAAGTGGGTTTTTAATATTTATTTTGAAGGAGTGGAGACTGGGTGAGCATCCAATGGAGGATGGAAGTGAGTTCCACAGGAACGGTGCAGCCCTCGAGAAGTCTTGATGGCGAGCATTAGAGGTGGGAGTGCAGACAGAATATAGACGTCTTCAGCAGAGCGTAAGGGCCTAGATGGGACATACTTGTGTATTAGGGAGGATAGCTAGGTGGGAGCAGCATTATGTAGAGATTTGAAAGCAAGAACCAGAATTTTAAATTGAGCCCCATATTTTACAGGAAACCAATATAGGGACTGACAGAAGGGTCAGGTGTGGGAGGTGCGGGCAGACAGGAAGATGAGCCTCGCTGCCACATTCATTATGGACTGTAACGGCGCAAGTTTGGAGCATGTAAGACCACTGAGAAGCAGATTACAGCAAGGCGAGAAAGGGCAGTGGAATGGACCAGCACCTTAGTCGCATCTGGCGTTAAGTAAGGTCGGATGCGCGCAATGTTTTTGAGATGGAAGCAGCAGGATTTCGCTATAGACTGAACATGAGGCGTGAAGGAGAGGTCAGAGTCAAAGAGAACACCTAGGCAGCGAGCCGGCATGGTGGAGCTGATGGTAGCACCATTGACTTGGAGGGAGACAGATACAGGAGTAGCAACACTTGAGGGAGGAAAGACCAGAATTTCAGTTTTGGTCAAGTTGAGTTTAAGGAAGTGGGCAGCCATCCAGTTATCAATAGCAGAGAGGCAGTCAGAGACACTAGTCAAGAGGGACGGGGAGAGATCAGGAGAGGGCAGATAGATTTGCGTGTTATCCACATAGAAATTATATTGGACGCCAAAGGAGCTAATGAGTTTATCAAAGGAAGCAGTATAGATGGAGAACAGTAGGGGACCAAGGACACTTGGGGACACCAACCGAGAGGAGTTGGGGAGAAGAAGCAGAGCCAGAGAAAGAATTTATAGTGGAGAAAGTCATGCACACAGTGAGACTTTCTACAACAGCGTTCAGCAGTTCTGGAGCATTTTTGGAAGTATCGAGTCATCTTGGTGTGCCAAGGTCGTTATTGGGGTTGCTTGCTGCGTTTAAATGTAGGAGGTGCCATGAGGTGAGAGGTTGGAATTGTAGAAGTAGGTTGCAGAGCTAGGACAGGTGAGGTTTGAGATAGGAAAAGAAGAGTTTGGAGATTAGTGGAGAAATGCTCTAGGTCAAGACATTGGAGGTTTCTGTGAGATTGATGTTCAGACGGTGGTGTCAATTGGGTCTTAGGTATGCAGATGTCAAAAGTCAGCTGATGGTGGTCAGATAGAGGAAAAGGAATATTGGAGAGACTAGAGGCTGTACAGAGATTGGTGAAGGCGAGATTGGTGAAGAGTGTTTCCTGCTGTATGGGTTGCTACATTGGACCATTGCATAAGGCCAAAGGAGGAGGTTACAGAGAGCAGACGAGAGTCATCAGTGCAGTTTGGGTTATTGATTGGAATATTGAAATCCTCAAGTATAAGGGAAGGAGTGCTAGATGAGAATAAGTGGGGAAGCCAGGAAGAAAAGTGCTCAATTAATAGTCTAGGATGACCGGGGGGTAGATGATAGCAATTCTTAAAGGAGTGGGTTTAAATAGGTGGACAGTGTGAACTTCAAAAGAAGAAAAGGATAGGGCAGGGAGAGTTATGATTGGTTGACAGGTACATTGAGGGGAGAGAATGATACCTACACCACTGCCTTTACAGTTGAGTCTGGAAGTGTGAGAGAATTGTAGCCCACCAAAACATAAAGAGGCAGGAATAGCACTATCAGAGGGGGACAGCAAGGTCTCTGTAAGTGCAAGTAGTGTGAGTGAGTTTGAGATGAAAAAGTTGTGTATGGCTCTTGATTTTAAATTACTGCAGACGGAGCGGAGTGCACACTGAATGTTGGTAAGTGAGGGTAAAGGGCAGGGTATTGTGATGAGGTTTGTGGGGTTTCTGGTTTTCTTAATGTGTATAGACAGGGCCGGCCTTAGGCCTTTAGGTGCCCTGTGTGAAAAATCTTCACAGCCATCCATGTATGATGTAATGTTTGTGTTGTCTGTGTATGTGATAGGTGTGATGACTGTGTGTGCAATGTGTTGGCTGTGTGTGATATTTGTAATGGGTGTATTAACAGTGTGTGATATGCGAGTATTGGTTGTATGTGATCTTTGTGCTGGGTTTATTGACTGTGTGTGATGGGTATTTAATTCAGATAAAAACATGCATGCAATTAGGCCTGTGTGTGAATGCAGGTGTATATTTTTGCAAAGTTATGTGCACACAGTCCCACAGTCAGATGCACACAGTTATACATATACACTGTCAAATCCACCACATGCACATAGTTGCATGCAGATAGTCACATACACAGGATCAGGCAGAAACACAACGCCACAATTTTTTAAATTTTTTTTTAAACCCCGGCTAGCCATGTGTGAGCTTTGTCGGCTGCAGGATGCCCCCTGCTCCATGGCACCCTGCGCGGGCGCACAACTCACACACTTCTAAGGCCGGCCCTGTGTGTAGAGAAGGTTAAGGGCCCTGGATTGGGAGAGACATCACCAGCTGTTAGAGCCAGGAGGAGAGAAAGTGACAAGAGGTGTAAATGGGTTTTGTATGCGTAGGGTGTAGGATGAGATCAATTGTGGGTAGGAGTGAGAGAGTAGAAAAATGAATGCAAGGCATGAGATGAGAGAGGGGGGAGTGTAGCAGAGAGGGGCATATGTAAATGTGGTTAGGGGGATGAGTGAAATGGGTGTAAGGAGAGATATTTATGTTGAGAGAGAAGGAAGAAATAAAGAGGAGGAGAAGACAGATCATTGCTAAACTGGGAAAAAATAAATTGGGAATAATTGGAATATCAAGATAAATATTAAGTAGGTAGGATAAATATTAAGTTTTAAGAAAGTGCGGGAGTTTACTAATAAGAGGCAGTGTGTACACCTGTTATTTTTACTTATCTAAAATTTGGGTGTGACAGACAATCTATAAATATAATAATGAGGGTGGGGTGGTGAGGGGAGGGGAGGGCGGGTATCAGACTTTCTTACAGCAGTATTGGGGCTTGATAGTTTCCAAATCAGGCTGTTGAATAAAGATATGAGGATCAGATAGGCTTGCAATAAAGCTGAGGGATGGAGATATGTATCTAGGTACAGAGATGAAGAGATGGATATTCAAATAAAAACAAACATATCAATAAAAGAAGGGAGGGGTCAGAGGTCAATCACAAATCAGAGGGGCAATAGAGGAATGCATATAGGTGAATAAAACAATTACATAGCAAAACTACACTTTAGCATAAAATACAAAATATAAATACAAGAAAATATACAGTGTACACAGGATATATAAAATAAAATAAATGTACAGGGTGGTAAAATTAAATATAAATGATGCTGTGCAGGATTGAGTCTTAGTGTGGTCTTCCAGAAGGCTACCTTTGGTTATTGCAACCGATCAGCACTGACTTCCTTACAGCAGTATTGGGGCTTGATAGTTTCCAAATCAGGCTTTGCTTATTGCAGACGATCAGCTGATGGAGCACTGCCTTTATTACAGCAGTATTGGGGTTGAATAAAGATATGTGAGAGTCAGATAGGCTTGCAATGCACCCTCTTTGGGTGCCTTTAGAAATGACAGAATTAATGTATGCATCCCCACTTTAGGTGCCTCAGAAACAATTAATATTAAAACATGTATTGTTCTTCTATATCTGGTTAACATAATGGAAGGACAAAGTAGCTGGAGCACATGTTCTTAAGTGTCACCTTCTTACATTCAGAGAGCTAATTTCTGCATAAATATGAACTACATTTTATCACAAAGAATACAGTATGATTATTCCTTGCATAGTTCGCCTCACTTTCTATGCCCGAAATAAAATTAGTGTAAGAGAACATAGTATAAAATGTACATTTTGTTGTGTGTTGCAAAAAAAAAAAAAATCTCCATAAAAAAAAAAACATTGGAAAAGTCGTGAAAGTAAAGTATATTGATAAAGTCTAACAGAAATAAAAAAAAATCAAGCCTATTGCACATTATTCTGTGTCACACTGATAATTCTATCCCAAAATTTAGAGACAGAAACAGTTAGAATACAGCTAAAATATACAAAAAATTACAATTTAAAGACAGATACCAGAGTGGAATTTTTTTTTTAATGAAAATAATGTGCCATATTTATAATAATAAATAGCATTAGTTACATATACTTCTGTGTGTTGGTAAGAAATAGTCTTAAGAAAGACAGTTCTCCTTAAACCACAGAGGGTAGTGTGTATTTTTATTGAACTGCAATATATGAAATATATCTATCTGAAGATATCTTGCTGTAAACATTCCGGAATATGTTACATAATCCAATATTTTCTTACTGCAGATGCCAAGCGCCTGATTGGTCGTCGATTTGATGACCCAGTTGTGCAGTCAGACATGAAGCACTGGCCTTTCACTGTCATTAATGATGGGGGGAGGCCCAAAGTTCAGGTTGATTACAAGGGAGAGGCTAAAACCTTCTACCCTGAGGAAATTTCATCCATGGTCCTTACTAAGATGAAGGAGATATCAGAAGCCTACCTGGGAAAGGTGAGAGAATGAAGGAATGCAGATATATTTAATATATATAAAAGTTGGTGTAAAAGCAAGTTAGTTACAGGTTACAATGAGTAGGAGTGAATTGCCCACTGACTTCCAAAACTGAGGTGTAAATAGCAGGGGATTTCTTATTTTTGCACTTGTGGGAATCTTGTAGAACTACAGGAGGTAGAGGACCAGCAGGTATATAACTACAGTTACCATGAAGCTATCCTAGACAACACAGAGGAGGATTTAAAGTCAGGTATTAAACTGGCTACCATTATCATGTAGTATGGGTGAGGATTGTAGTACCGTCACAGATCTTCATAGGAAGCATTCTATAGATTTGTCCAGTCGAGAGCCCTCTGGTGGCAAATTAGGTAACAACACCAAGGTAACACTATCTCAAGTTAAAGGATTAATCCAAGCATCATAACCAATACTGCTTAGTTGTAGCACAAAGTGGTGGGTGACTTCAGAGGAGAGTATGAGCCTGTTATAGCACAGAGTCATGAGCAGCTGTAAATGAGAGTGATAGGTGTCAGTAGAGAAGAGTTATGGGCGACTGTAACCCAGAGAGATGGGTGAGTTTATGAGTATTTCAAAATATTGCCACCAGCACCAGAATCATGCTTTCTGGATAATCTTAGATCTTAATTGATGGGTCATATTTATATTTACTGTATACAGCTTCCTTGTCATGGTCATTTTTGATTTGGTTTTATTTGCAGGACAGATAAAAATAATACATAATAAAAAAATAAAAATAAAGTTTATTAACTATATAACTTAAAATATGTCTGGTATTTCATCCTGTAAATATTTTTAATGTTCTTCCTCTTTTTCTCGTCATTACATCAGACAATTAATAATGCAGTTGTCACTGTTCCTGCTTATTTCAATGATTCGCAAAGGCAGGCAACTAAAGACGCGGGAACGATCTCCGGACTCAATGTGTTGCGTATTATTAATGAGCCAACTGCGGCTGCTATAGCATATGGGTTGGACAAAAAGGTATGGATGCAGGACAGTTATTGGGTATTAATGCATGAAAAAATATTATATAAATAATCAAATTAAGGATGCACTGATATTAAGGTAATACTGCATATAAAATAAATTAATATTTATTCCATTTGTTTTTTTATAGGTGGGTGGTGAGAGGAATGTTCTGATTTTTGATCTGGGTGGAGGCACTTTTGATGTTTCTATCCTTACTATTGAGGATGGTATATTTGAAGTTAAGTCCACAGCTGGTGACACCCACCTGGGCGGGGAGGATTTTGATAATCGCATGGTCAACCATTTTGTTGGAGAGTTTAAACGCAAGCACAAAAAAGACATCACAGAAAATAAACGTGCTATCCGTCGTCTGCGTACAGCCTGTGAGAGAGCCAAGCGCACTCTCTCCTCCAGCACCCAGGCCAGCATTGAAATCGACTCCCTCTATGAGGGTGCTGACTTCTACACATCGCTAACACGAGCCCGGTTTGAGGAGCTCAATGCAGATCTCTTCCGTGGAACATTGGAGCCAGTAGAGAAAGCCCTACGAGATGCCAAGTTAGACAAGGCACAGGTCCATGATATTGTTCTTGTTGGAGGCTCCACACGTATCCCCAAGATCCAGAAGCTCCTTCAGGACTTTTTTAATGGAAGAGAACTGAACAAAAGCATTAATCCAGATGAAGCAGTGGCCTATGGTGCAGGTGAGCAAACAGAAAACAAATTAAACAGTTGACCTGTTGTTTCTTTAGACAAAAGGACTGAAGTACATTAGAGTAGTACTTCCCATAAGACAGACACACCAAAATTTGTACCTGGTGACACAGGAGTAGAAATCAAATAATGTAAGCCTGGTTCAGCCAGGTCTTTTGCTCATAAACAGTATGTGTTTATGTGTGTCAGTAAAGGAACATTATAGGGTCAGGAACACAAACACAAACATGTATTCCTGACTCTATAGTGTTAAAACTACTATTTATTGCTAAAGAAAATTATGATATTGTTAAGAACCATTAACCCTACTTACATCTCCAATTCTGACAGCTGTTCAGGCTGCAATCCTGTCTGGAGATAAATCTGAAAATGTGCAGGACCTACTGTTGCTGGATGTCACCCCACTATCTCTCGGCATCGAGACAGCAGGAGGAGTTATGACAGTTCTCATCAAACGTAACACGACCATACCCACTAAGCAAACACAGACATTTACCACTTATTCCGACAATCAACCAGGTGTCCTTATTCAGGTAATGGGGTTATAATCTGAATCTGAAATTAAGCTATTATAATCCGCACATGGATACCATTAACATGACAAGACATGCACCATCAGGAGCTTTTAGAATAAGTTACATCAATTAAAATAGCCTTTTAGACATACCAATAGTCAGGGTAGGCACATTAAAGGAAAGCTGTATTTTCTGGAAAGCTTCATGAGACAGGTGCATACAGGCAATACCGCCTGCTTTTTCTCCTTCTTACATTCCACCATTGCAACATTCATAAAGTGTGTTAATTAATAAATTAATTAATATTATTTACATTGTGTTGTGGTGAGGCAAATCAACCTATTGGTTCTGCAGGTCATGAAGGGGTGTAAAATTAAGGTGTAAATGTTGCTTTTGTTTCAGGACTTATTTAAAGACCCCAAAAAACAACTGTTATATGCATATCTTACACAAAGATACATATAGCCCTGTCTACTATTGGTATTGTCTGCAATGACTGACTGAGGAAGCTAAAGACACATTTGTGACTTCTCTTTCTTACATTTGGTTATTGACCTCACTTATGAAACTACATTTATTTCAGGTGTTTGAAGGTGAAAGAGCAATGACAAAGGACAACAACCTGCTTGGTAAATTTGAGTTGACAGGAATCCCGCCGGCTCCTCGTGGTGTCCCCCAGATTGAAGTGACATTTGACATTGATGCCAATGGAATCATGAATGTGTCTGCCGTCGACAAAAGCACTGGGAAGGAGAACAAGATTACCATTACCAATGACAAGGGTGCGTAAAACAAACAGATGAGGTTAAACAAATATTTATGGTATCTTATACCATGGAGAAATAATGGGATTAAGATTCTGGGAGATTTAAATTCATCCATTGGGATTATGAACTAGTGATATCCAGGATTTATATAATCTATCTGATAAAGAATTTTTAACATACTTAAGAGTAAGAAATTTCTTGAAGAAAAACTCTATTACCCAGAATTACTTTTTAGACGACTTTATAGCAAATCACTACAACTCTTACTTGGTATCTAAAGTTATTAAATTAATGGACACAGTCTCAGAAGTGGTTAGACCGCCCACAGTCATCAAATGGGAAACTGACTTAGGGAAAACATTTTCAGAGGATAACTGGTTTAATGCTAGGTCTATATACATATGGTGGGAAAGTGAAGTTCTTGAAAAGATAAACATTAATCTTCACTCTTTAATTTGGAATGTCTTTAGATTAAAGTTATCCCACAGTTATTCCTCTTCCATATGGATATGCCGAGATTGACCAAATCTAAAAACCTCCTTCTTATAAATTTTTTCTTGGCAATTAAGATCTCCTCAGCCAGGTATTGGCTTAAAATGTACACTTCTGGTTGAAGTGAAATCATGACCCCGTTAGATATGGAAAAATATTTTTACGTACTTAATTCCATGACAGATAGATACAAAGATATTTGGCAATCCTGGAGTAAATATTGGAACAATTCAGAGATCCCGATTATGAGATAATCAACTAAAATAATATACAAAGTGTCAGAATAAAAAACGGACCCAGTAAGAGATCAGCTTGTGAAAACCTCCCTCACCCATAACAACCTATTGACTCAGTGACTGATTGACCTTGATCCCATGGCCAGAAAACTATATGTGTGTCCATGTTATTGAATAAATGCTAAGATTATAAACTGTAAATTTGGTAAACCATCAAAGAAAAAGCACGACTATATATATATATATTGTAAATTGTGGAAGTTGTAAGTGTCTATTAGTATTGTCATTGTGATAAATGTAATATATTGTTTTTTTCTCATGTGATATAGAAATGAATACAAATTATTGAAAACTTCCCAAAAAAACAAAAAAATAAAAAACCCAAAAGTTTTCCTTTAATTTGAATTAATTAGTGTTTCTTAATATATTGATAGGCCGTCTAAGTAAGGAAGATATTGAACGTATGGTTCAAGAAGCCGATAGGTACAAGGCTGAAGATGAAGCCCAGAGAGAGAAGATCACAGCCAAGAATTCCTTGGAATCTTTAGCTTTCAACATGAAGAGCACCGCCGAGGATGAAAAGCTGAAGGACAAGATTACTCCAGAAGATAAACAGAAGATCTTGGACAAGTGCAATGAAGTAATTTCTTGGCTGGACAGGAACCAGGTAATGGTGGCTTTATAATCTTATATCTACTGTTAAACCTTAACAAAAGCCAATACTAGGTATTCAATAAATTTCCCGGAACAGTGGTCAGTCATATATCCCTAAAGTTGCGATATCCCAATTGGCATAAAAACAGAAAATTCTTAAACCCTGAATATGTCAATCACGGTAAATGAAGACTAGTTTGGGCAGCACTAGTTTAAGGTTTTTGGAACAAGTCTGTTATGCTTATTGTAGATCAAAATCATTAGTACTATCTACCACGCAATGAAAAAAACCAGATTGTTGAACCCCCGTAAGTTTTCTTAAGTGGATGGATGCTTCCAAATACAGATGCAGCATATGATAATATTGGGGTATGTATCCAATCTTTTCATTCTGTTGCTCACTCGTGTTGCCTTGAAGCAGACCTTTTGCCTAACCAACCTTCACCCCTTTCCAAAAGAAAACCTTTAGAAACTGTGCTTATTATTATTAGCATTGTGATGATATACACAATTTTGTAATTTAAAACAGAAATATATAATATGTACGCAGCCAATTTTTAGGACTACATTTATTTCCCTTAATCTTGAGTTTCTTATCCATTTGATTTAGTTTTATACAGTTTACATGCTCCTATTTCTAGCTGCCTATACTGCATAATATTATATAATATATAATATATATTGTATAATATTATACATATTGTATCTCTACCATTACTTTCCCCAATGCATGTTTCTGTTTTTCCCTGTTAAGATGGCTGAGAAAGACGAATATGAACATCAACAGAAGGAACTGCAAAATGTCTGCAACCCTATCGTTACAAAGCTCTACCAGGGGGCTGGTGGTGCCGGCATGCCCGGTGGAATGCCTGGAGGCTTCCCTGGAGGAGCAGGGGGCAGTGCTGCTGGTGGCTCTTCTGGACCGACTATTGAAGAAGTCGACTAATGTGCTGTCCAAACTTAATAAAGCAGGCCACTTGCCACAAAGCACCTTCTAATCTGGTACACTATTAAAATTCAGCAACATAAACATTTATGTTGAATGTTTTATTTTATATAATCATTATGCAACCCAATGCCATTAAGTTTTTACTGACATTAACCAAGTAGGAATTTTAGATTTCGACAGCCTGCTCTCAGACACCTAACTTCTGAACTACAATTATGTAACATCTATGTTCTCTTTTCAGCATTTATTCTATTGTATCCAACACCTTTCTATACTGAGGTCTCCTAAATTCAGTGGTAGTTTGATTGTATAACCCGAGACAAGTTTGAGTATAGTGAGACCTACTGGACAGTGACATACACTCCAGTGTTAGATTTACATACCAGGCTCCTAACGAAGAAATTCATTGTAGTAGAAGAAAATGTGGTATATGGGCAAAAATAATGTTGTTTTTTGGGTTCTACTATATATTTCCATGGCAGGCTAACCCTAAAAATTTTCCCATTTATTTCAGAAACTGTCTAGTATTTATTATGAAAAAGCCTCCAGTGGTAAGGAATCTCAGGAATGACCCATGATGTGAACTGTCTCTAAATCTCGACACGAAAATATGTTATTTCCCTGTGCATTAGATTATTGTTTTATTACAAAGGACCAGCAGAAAACATACATTTTAATAGATAGCTTGTGTGCTTTGTTATATTTGGACAAATATTGATTAATGATATTCAATATATATAATTATACCAAATGACACGTGATGACAGTTTTGATGGGCAACATACTTATTCCCTTTGTTTCTTCTTATAGTCTTAAAACGAATATCAGCTGGTTGCCAACATTATGATAAAAGTTTTATTCCTTCCTACATACAATGTAATGTATTGGAAAAATGGGTCAAAAAGTATTTTACAGTAACACAAAGGGGTAACGATTACAAGAGCCATAAAATTTGACCATACTTTTCAAGTTACTTTGTCTACCGAAATGTAGTTTACTCAGTTACAATTATATAGGCTGAAAAAAAGACTCAAAACCATCAACATTTCTTTCTTTCTCACAACTCTATTTATATTGTCCTTCACAAAGAAGGTCAGTCTACCAACGAATTCTCCTGTCCACCAGACAAAGCATTTATTTATCTTGTCGTGTTGCATGGGAGCTTGCTTATTTTCAAATCTTGTGCAAGTTCGGACCTGCCCTGCTATCAGACTTATAGTCAGTGTACCAACTGTACCGTTTACTATAGAAATAATAAAAGACTGTATACCAAATATTGTGTATTCTTAATATATATTTTATATACAAATGATTAGCATACATTAATACCAATTCTCTTCATTGTTTTAGATTTAGGCTTAGAATGAAATATGGGGTGACCTCATACAAAGGTAGCGGTAGATATGCTTTATTAAGTTGTGGAAAATAAAACAAAACAGCACATATCCATACACAATCCTATATTACATCTGACATGACTTTATGGACATGCTGCATGGTGACCAAGCTTGACAAGTATCCAAGATATTTAAATTGAGCATCATTTTATAGACACATGCAGATGCCATCGGCACTTTAAGGGAGCACAAAAAGTATTTTTTATCCACAACAATGTCAGACAGTCACTGTGTGGAATGGCTATGGGATCATTGGTATAGGAGAAGACACATTTTAATGTACAGGCATATTGAGAACATGTTAGGGACTGTGTCAAATGCATCTACAGATTGATGGTGGATTGGATCCCACCAGGATAGTAAAAAAACAAGACATCAGTACATTAGGTGGACGGGGAAAGAGCTTTAAGTAAAATAACCAAATAACTGAAACCAGGGTACCAATCTCAAAACTTTCTAACAAGTACCAGATACCACACTAGTGCACGTGGACGTATTCAGGCTACAACTATGATACAGACCCTGTACATCAATGTGAAAACCCAATACAGTCAAGCTGCAAGGTCCAAAACTGTAACCAATCGACCAGTCTAAGTCTGTTTTTATCAACCAAGGAAATACCCAGGTAACAGGTTTATCATTTCTGTATTCAAGTGTGTCTAGATTATTCATCTAGAAAGTCTAGTATTGTGGAAAAGTTTGGAACCAAATGTTTCTGTGGAAGCACAAGGTCGAGATATGATCAAATAATGATAGTTAAAAAGAAAAACTTCTAAAATTCTATAACTCCAATTAAATGTGCATTTAAGTTATGTTCTTTTGGCTATGTTTTGGTAAAATCGTACTGGGACTTCAGCACGATTCCATTCAGAGCATATCAGAAACATAAAACACAATAAACTACTGTCTGCTGTTTTCTAAAACAGGAAGTTTTGCTTCAGTCTTACATAATAATCAACATTATAAGGAAAGACACCAATAATGTCTATAAATATCAGGAGCTGACCTAGAATATGGCTAAAAATGAGTATATGCCTGGATACAAGAGAGGATATGAATATAGTGGTGCTGTGCCTTTGAAAGAGAATTGAATTTCACAAGAGAAAGTAAAAGCAAGATAAATTAATATAATCAGATAGATAAAAAATAATAAATAAATAGGTAAAAAAGGTAAAAATGTAATATTGTAGCAATACAGTATTAGGAACTGTAGGCTAAAATATTGTTACACAATGTAACAACAGCAGATAAAAAGCAATGGTTCTGAAACTGGATAGAAATAAAAACCAGTTTATTGGACAAAAAGTATAAAATATAGGAATAATAAATATCCGTCTCTGAAGAAGTAGGGGGTCACCTACGAAACGCGTAAGACTATTGGACACACATCAGGATTCAGATCCAGCACACACACGATACTTGAAGTCAGTATTCTCCCAGGACCTGTTGGTTTGTTCACTGAATCGAAGCCGCTCACAGGACACGTTCCTCCGGAGTGAGGCTCCCGCAGGGACGCATGTTGAACGAACACGCTGTCCTCACCGGCGGTATCATCAAAAGCGGCAAGAAATTCAATCCATATCCATCCGAACTCAATCCGAAGGTCTCTGAATATTTCTGACATCATAACAACTGGCAATACCTATATGAACTTCTCCTGATGTGTATTTTTTAATAATATTTATTTTTCATATATTTTATACATTTTGTCCAATAAACTGGTTTTTATTTCTATCCAGTTTTAGAACCATTACTTTTTATCTGCTGTTGTTACATTGTGTAACAATATTTTAGCCTACAGTTCCTAATACTGTATTGCTACAATATTACATTTTTTCTACGTGCATCCTTACAAGATACTAAGTATATCATATATCACTTGGTACAAGTGCCAGTCATTCTGCTTTATGGCAGTAATAGAGACACTTGCACTGCACTTTTCTGTTCCAGACATATTTTTACCTTTTTACCTATTTATTTATTATCCTTTATTTATTATTTATTATCCATCTATCTGATTATATTAATTTATCTTGCTTTTACTTTCTCTTGTGAAATCCAGTTCTCTCTTAAAGGCACAGCACCACTATATTCATATCCTCTCTTGTATCCAGGCATATATTCATTTTTAGCCATATTCTTGGTCAGCTCCTGGTATTTATAGACATTATTGGTGTCTTTCCTTAGCAATTCTTTTATAAATTTTAGTGGATCCTTATTTTTTCCAGTTCTTTGAGCAGCCTAGTGCCAGTCCTACTCCCTCACTCCTGGGTAACGCATTAGGTGTACCAGTATCCATCATTTTAATCAACATTATAAGTTTGTAGGGAAATAGACAAAGATACTTTCTATTTGGATGATCTTCGAGGTCCCTTTGTCCTCTTCATCTTCCTGGCATCTGCTGTTTAATGGGTAATTGAAGTTTAGTTGAGAAAAAATAACAAATTATAATAATACTGACAGTTTGTTTGTACTGTCCCACCAATAGATGCACCAGCTTATGCCCTTTGAACTTATCAGTCATTCTAGGGTCTTTTATCTCCACCTACGAGATGTGGCAGATGACCATGTAATAACGTGTCGTCATACACTTTATTCTGTTTTTTTTAATGTTAATGTATAACACAGCTAGATTTGTGATACATTAGGTAACTCAATAATATATGCTTCATTTAAGGGTTTATGTGCTGAATAATGACACATTCTTTCTGTGATTGTATGGTTATGCATAAAATAAATACTAAGCTCACTAATTCAATCCTTAAGCGTTGAAATGATTAAATGACATCTCTTTGGATTGATCTGTTTGAAGTCAGAGAGACCTCATATAATTGTAACAGTAAGTGGGTCAATACAACCCTTGTATAATTTACCAAATCAATCTGCAGAAATCCCCCAGGGTGTTATAGAGAGAGGGATATACACAAGACTGTAATTAACCTAGTTTTGGTTTCCCCAGTTTCGTCTCTCAAGTTTTAATGATACTTTTATTGCATCTCAGTTAAGATACCAAGGTCACTTACTGCATTGGAGTAGCTCTTGTGATTCACCACAGAATATAATAAACAGAACACAACATTTGTGTTGTAATGCAGTAATTGCAGTTTATACCTTTGCCAAAAGAACCCAAAGAATATTCATTAAAAGGGCAGGGTTCAAATAAACTTAGATCAGTTGAGGAGCTCCATGGGGCATTTTTATTTTTTATATTTTGTATATATTTTTTATATATATTAGATATTTTATATATTTTTCTATATTATATTCAAATTGAACACAATATGTATCCAACACGTGATTCATATGTTGGTGGTTGTAGTCAGAATATCCTCTCTGTACTCTATGGGATGACTGTGCTATGTGAACAAAAAGCCAATGTTATGAAACAAATACTCTATTTTGCTACCTTAGGCACACCTAATACATGCTTGCACCATAGTTGTAATGTTTGTTCTTCTTAGTAATAATTCTTATTGTGATGTATACAAAGATTTTTGAAAACTCTGTAAAGGTCAAACGATTACACCTAGATTTCAACTATCTGAGATAACTGTGCTTCTCAGGAGCCACCAATGGTTCTTTGGGAGACTAAGTCAGTTATGACACTGACTGTGCTACCATTACCATACCCTTTCCCCCATGTGACATAAAAAGGTCAAGCACAACATATCCAGAAGTGGATCGAGATGACCAGTTTTCCATTGAAAAAATAATGTTATCTGTCCTAAATGTGGAAGGGATGTCTGTTTTGGTGAAAACTGTGTGACTCACAAAACATTGTTGTAAGTATACAACTGTGTTATTGGTTTGTTTTTAATTTCTCTGTTTTTGTATATTGTTATCATATCAATAGCCATCAGGAACAAATGTAAATGTGCACTCAAAGCGCCATAACTAAAGCTACCCATGGATGTCAAAAACAGGCTATGCTAAACCACTGCCAGTGCTCCCAGTCCATGACTACCACCCAAAGTGGAACAGCCAAAGTGGAGGTTCACTGCTGTATTATCCAAGCTACAGCAAACGGACCAGGAGATACTTTTCATCATTTTGCTCAAACTGGGAAGAAGAGAGGATTTCAAGACTTTCTGCACCATAACCTCTATTTTGAACTGTAGAAGTTATGGTTCAATTGTGCGCAAATCTAAGTTTATATCAGTTATATAAAAATATAGACCTTTTACCCATCACGTGACATCCTCCTAAAGTAGTATGAGAACATGGGATACATGAAACAACTACTGGTGCTCACATTTAATAAAATAAATTTAATAAAAATGATAATACAACATATATAAAACACATACCAAGAAATAACACCTACAAATTATTTAAAATTTGCTGTATCTTATAAACAGAACTATAGTGTTTTATTGTCAACATCTTCTAAAATATGCATGCACCAGGCTACGTGTGAACCCATTAATGGAATGTTAAATATCCAGCTTATAACACGCTAACAACTTATTATTAGGCAAATAAATAAATAAAGAGGAACAATTCTAACAAATTCTATTTCCAGGAACTTATTTGAACATTCCTCTATAACTAAAAACTACGAGGCAGTGTTTGTTAATTTATATCTATCAAATCGTTGAATTATTTGTAGATAACACATTTTTCGGTGGGGTAGAAATATGAACCCATTGTCAGTGATCATTACAACTGATTGTATTGGCAATCACTTATGTGTATTTTGTGTCAAAAAACACAATTTGCGACAAAGGGACCTTCTTTAAAAGGAATTTTTAAGCTATTTTCTGTTCCAATGAAATCTTAGCCAAAGCAGAAACCCTGATAGCTGGAAGAATCACTGTAAACTCTGCATTTATTTCCATAGATTATGTTCATCTCTAGAACTGTGCCCCTAAATATGACC